CTCTAGGTGATCAGCCATGTTCCAGCTGATAGGTTTTTTGGACCAGTGCATGAACTCTGGCGTCTCTGATGCTACTGCATTCACCTCTTGTCTCTGCAGCCGCCTGCTGTGTCGATCATCAGCCATACTGGTAAATACCACATAGGCTCCATGTTCTTCGGGGTATTCGTCTTGTACTGCGCCGACTGGCCTGACAGCCGGCTGCTGGGGCGGAGGCGGCGGCGGTTGCCCAGCAGGCGGGGGAGGTAGGAGGTCGTCTCCTTTGGCGATCCTGGTGAGCCAGTGGCACTTCCGGATGGTGTGATTCGACGGCTTCGCGCCGCTATGGAACTTGCAAGGATCATCCAGGGTTTGCTCGTACGAGAAGGCCGGCAACCAGTTGGGCTTGCCACCTTTCTGTCGCTTGGGTGGAGGCTGCCCATCCGGCTGCTGGGCTTCGACTGTCGCAACCTGCCGGCTGCTGGAAGCCGGCTGCGGGGCCTTGCGCTTGTGGTCACTCTGCTGTTGCCGCCGACTGGCATCTCTTGCCGGAGTTCTTGGAGCTTGAGGGGCCACTTTGCCAGTTGTGCTAACTTGAATCTCCACCTTCATGGAGGAGTCGGCTGTGGCATACTTGTCTGCTATGATCAGCAGCTCGTCCAGGGTTTCTGGCTCGTCGCAAAGGAGCTTGTGCTTGAAGAGGGTGCCTTCTCTGCACCCGGTGGTGAAGTACTCGATAGCATGCACCTCGTGCACGCCCTCGCAGGAGTTCCGAAGCTCGGCCCAACGCGTGAGGTAGTCGCGAGTCGACTCGTCGGGGCCTTGCATGCACAAGGAGAGCTGGCGAGGCTTGGGAGGACGCTTGTACGTGCTGGTGAAGTTGCGAACGAATGCTTCGGTGAAGTCAACCCAGCTGTTGATGCTACGGGGCTTCAGGCTGTTCAGCCATGTCCGGGCCGTGCCCTGGAGCATGAGCGGAACGTATTTTACGGCGACACGCTTGTTGCCATTCGCTATGCTGACAGCCGTGGAGTAGTCGACTAGCCAGTCTTCCGGCTTCACGGAGCCGGTATACTTGGGCGTGTCTCTTGGGAGCGTGAACCCTTTGGAAAAGGGCTCGTCTCGAATGCGGGGCCCGAAACAAGGCGGACCCAACTTGTCTTCTTCTTCCAATGCCAGGGATCGGTGAAGCCGGTCGATCCGGTGGCGGGCGTCGTTTTCCCCGACTCCCTCTCGACGGCCAAGGCGGTCGCCAAGAGTCAGATGATCAACAGGCGGCGGGGAGACTTGCCTTTCCTTGCGAGGAGGAGGAGGCGGATAGTCATCCCGTCGTTCTACTGCTCTCGGGCGGCTGTCTCGGTCGCGCTATATGGTAATGTGAGTCCGACTATGGCTGATGGTCGGATCCCTGTCCTTTCTTCCTCGGGCGCCGCTAGTCGGCGTTCGAGACGTCGTGCCTTGGTCTCGGCGAAGGTCGTCGTTTTGCCGCTGCGGCGCCTCTGTGCGGCAGCCGGCCTCGTTCTGCGCAGCAGCCGCGTCGAGGAGCCGTTGGACTCGCTCCATCATCAGACGGCGCTCTTCGCCCTTAAAATTGTCCAGCTCGTCCGCCGCCACCTGGGCAGCTCAAATATTCTCCGCAGGCGTAGCGTACACAGGGCGACTTGCCCCGAACAGGCTGGCGATGGCTACGCCGCGCTGCCGGACCGCGCCGAGACGGCTGGGCCCAGCTGGGGCTGGCGAGCCGCCAACAGCGCGATCCATCTCCCGCTGGCAGGCTTCTGACAAGCGTCTCATGCTAGCCAGCTTCTTCGCGCCTTCGACGAGCTGAAGGCGGCGCGCCTCCAACGTTTCCGCGTCAGCATCTTCCAGAATGGGCGCAGTCAGGTCTTGTAGCGCTGCGCCAAGTGGGTCATGCGCTCCTCCGCCGGGAGGCTCGTCATGACTAATGACGAGCACCTCGGTGACGGTGCTTCCGTCGCTCTCCGCGCGAGGGAGAGGCTCGTCATTGTAACACCCTCGATGCGGCTATATCTCCTACGTGTCGAAGCACGACTTAGAGGCATAACCGCATTGAAAGCAATGTCGCAAGTAAGGTAATCTTCACAACATCCCATGTAATACATAATAAGGGGAAAGGTACATAGTTGGCTTACACTCGCCACGTCGCACAAAGTACATAAATAGCAATACATCATCAAATACACTCATGGTCCGACTACGGTACCAAAATAAAAGATCAACCCAACATGCGACACGGTCCCGATCGCCCCAACTGGGCACCACTACTGATCATCAGGGAAAGACACATAGTAACAGCGTGAGTCTACGTCGAACTCCCACTTGAGCTTAAGCGCGTCATCTAGAACGGAATCATCAGGCCCTGCATCTGGTTGGAAGTAATCTGTGAGCCACGGGGACTCAGCAATCTCGCACCCTCGCGATCAAGACTATTTAAGCTTAATAGGTAAGGCAAGGTAAATATGTGGAGCTACAGCAAGCGACTAGCATATATGGTGGCTAACCTGTTCGCAAATGAGAGCGAGAAGAGAAGGCAAAGCACGAACGAATAACTAGAGAACAACCTATGGCAAACATTACTCCAACACCGTGTTCACTTCCCGGACTCCGCCGAGAAGAGACCATCACGGCAACTCACACAGTTGATTCATTTTAATTAAGTTAAGATTCAAGTTATCTACAATCGTACATTAACAAATTCCCATCTGCCCATAACTGCGGGCACGGCTTTCGAAAGTTCAAATCCCTGCAGGGGAGTCCCAACTTAGCCCATGACAAGCTCTCACGGTCAACGAAAGATATACCTTCTCCCGAGACATTCCGATCAGACTCGGCATCCCGGTTCTACAAGACACTTCGACAAGTTAAAACAAATCCAGCAACACCGCCCGAATGTGCCGACAAATCCCAATAGGAGCTGCACATATCTCGTTCTCAGGGCACACTCAGATGAGCTCTCCATACAACTAAAACCAAACCTCAAGTTTCCCCGAGGTGGCGCTGCACAGGACTCTAGTTTGGACCAACACTTAGAGGAGCACTGGCCCGGGGGGGTTTAAATAAGATGACCCTCGGGCTCCGGAAACCCAAGGGGAAAAAGAGGATAGGTGGCAAATGGTAAAACCAAGGTTGGGCATTGCTGGAAGAGTTTTATTCATGGCAATTTGTCAAGGGGTTCCCATTATTACCCAACCGCGTAAGGAACGCAAAATCCGGGAACATAACACCGATATGACGGAAACTAGGGCGGCAAGAGTGGAACAAAACACTAGGCAAAAAGGCCGAGCCTTCCACCCTTTACCAATATATAAATGCATTAAGATAACAACATAATATAGTGATATCCCAACAAGAAAAATAATGTTCCAACAAGGAACAGTCTCCAATCTTCACTTGCAACTAGCAACGCTATAAGAGGGGCTGAGCAAAGCGGTAACATAGCCAAACAACGATTTGCTAGGACAAGGTGGGTTAGAGGCTTGGTTCAACAATATGGGAGGCGTGATAAGCAAGTGGTGGGTATCGCAGCATAGGCATAGCAAAAGAGCGAGCAACTAGCAAGCAAAGATATAAGTGATTTCGAGGATATGATCATCTTACCTGAAATCCCGCAAGAAAGAAGAACGAGTCCATGAAGAAGATAAACGGGCGTAGTCGAACGGATCCTCACACACACAACGTTATCGGAACCAACCCGAAGAAGCAACACCGGAAATAAGCAAACAACATAGTAAACAACCAACACATCAACATGGCATGATGCACATGCATGTCCGGTTTAATGAAGCATGGCATGGCAAAGTGCACAAGCAACCCTACAAATTAAGTGGAGCACAATATGCAACCGTTGCATATTGACGAAACACCACATTCAAGTTATTTAGTTCGATCTTGTTTATGTACCCAACAATATTAAATGTTGTTAAACATGGCAAGAGGGTGAAGCAAATGAAAACTACCTATCTAGGCAAGTTTAAATGAGGCCGGAACAACAAACAACAAGTCTAGAAAACCCTCATATGCATATACTTGGTTATGGTACTGTTCTGCCCTAAACGTAATTTTAGAGTTGTTAAACGTGCTAGATGAGTGCATCATGTTAAACTAGGCATTTTCCTACCCCATTTACATATAAAGTTTATTAAATTTGGAGCTGCGGTTGAATAGTTATGAATTAAAGTATTTTAGCATGACATAGGAGCAAATTATATGTAACCAACATTTTAAACATATTAAACATGGATGAAAATGACATATTATGAAACTAGAGGAAAAACTAAGCATATTTCATATATAATTCATTTTAGTCCGATGCACGAATTGTGAGTTATTATATGCATGTTATGCAAGGGGTTTTCTGTAAATCTGCGTTCTCTGGAAAATTAGCTAAAATGTTCTGCGGAAAAAAACATGTTACAGGCCAAAACTGGTCAGCCCAACAGAAGGAAAAAAAGGAGGCACCGGGGGTTCTTCACCTAGTGGGCCTCGGCCCGGCTTGGCAAGGAGGCCAGTGACACTGGGCCTTGCGCTGCACAGGGGAGCGGCTGGGGCGGCTGGACCACGCGCGGTGTAGATCTGGCGATTAACTGGATCGGGTCAACGAAGACGATTAGGAGCGGGGTCAATCGAGCTCCTCTGCTTGATGCGTGCAGAGCGAACAGAGGTCGCCGGCGGTTGCTTGAACTTGGCGAAGGACGACGCGATGGGCAGTGGCGGCGGACCAAGGCGAAGTAGGGGAGGTCCGGCAGAGGATGCAGAACCCGGGCGGCGCGATTTGAGACTCCCAACGGCGGCTGGTGCTGCAAGGGGACGGGTGTCCATGGAGCTCGCTCCTTCTGGTTCGGTGAGGTACGACAAGGCGGCGTGGTTCCAAGACTTGCGACGCAGACGAGTTCCGGACGGTCGAGATCCCACTGGAATGCGGTAGGGCGAGGTTGGAGCTCCTGGACGGTGAGGACTTGGCGTTCGAATCCATCGGATCGAGACGAGGCGAGGGCGGTGCTATGGCGTTGGTTCTTCTGCGAGGAACACAGGGAAGAGAGGTTAGAGACCAGAGGCAAGAAGAACGGGAGGAAGCAGGGTGCGAGGAGGCCCGGCCTGGATCTGGCGGCGCACAGGGAGGTCCTATAGGCGCTGTTGCTCATCACCGGCGGGGACGGCTGGCTCCAAGGAAGACCCGAGAGGGAGGGGATCCAGACGCGGTTCCTACCGATCCAAAAAGTGAGGGAGGCTGCGAACGGTTGGGTGGATCGATGGATCGAGGGGAGATGGCGGGTGGTTGGTGCAGGGGGAATGAGAGGATCCTGAGGTGGGGAATGAGAGCATGCTTGGATACGTTTTAGTCCCATGACTAAAAGTAGTGGGACTAAAACTTGCTAGTCTCACCCATGCTTGGATCCAAATACTAAAGAGACTAAAATCTAGTTATTGAGCATTTATTATCCTCCAAACCCTCCAATCCAGAACTAAGGAGAGGAATTAAATGAGGAGAGAGAGAGCTAATACATATTTTAGTAGGTTTCCCATGACTAAAAGATTTTGGCCTCAAGACTAGTCCTAACCTCTTTTTAGTCAGGGGTGCTTGGAACTTTAGCCTCTAAAAGAGACTACTTTTAGTCAGACTAAAAATAGTCCCTTGTATCCAAGCACCCTCTGAGTGCGGCGGCGGCTAGGAGGATCCCTAGAAATTAGGGATTTGGTCTGAAATTGGACCAGGGGTGGACTATATATATACATCACGGATTAGGTTAGGGGCTATCTCGACCCTACGATCGCAATCGGACGATCACGGATAAAATAGCTAGGGAGTCCAATTGAGATGTTTTGTAGACGTTTGGGGATGATCCGGACCCAACGGTGATGACTGTCCGAGTCGGGTTCGGGTGAGTTTCGGACACGCGCGAGGGGTCGATGCACTGTGCAAACAGGGGTAGGCTGGCCTGGCGGTCGGTAGTGAAATGTGTAGAGAGGCTTGGGCTGAGAGGAGAGGAAAGAAGACAGCCCGGCAAGCGTTTCCGGAGACCGAAAACGTCCGACGATAGACCGGCTATACTGCCGCTATAGTTATCCATTGGGGCATCAAACGATCTTCGGATGCGATGAAACTTGACAGGCGGTCTACCTACACTATAATAAGACCACACGTCAACTCTCATCCCATTCCGAGAACATTTTCCGGCCACTTATAAAATACTATTTCGGACTTGTCGCGGGCGCGTGCAAGTGTGTCTGGGCTCAGAACAGACAACAGACGAACTGGGGGAACCCAAACGAATACAAGTTTTGAAAACATGATGATGCAATGCACATGATGACATGACAAAGATGCAACACGCAAGCGAATGACATGGCAAGGATAGCGAATAACTGGAAGACACGCGGCACATCGGTCTCGGGGCGTTACAGTCATAGACCACCACATTAGTGGGGAATGCGTCGAGCGACGCGGTGTCGGAGTCGACCAGCATCGGGTCGGTGGAGCCTACAGACTCCAAGTCCACGGCAGACTCGCCGGAGACGTGGAGTTGGTCGAGGAGGCCCGCGAGGAGGCTCTCGGAGCCGCTCATGACTGCGTTGGATGCAGGTTCGTCGGAGAGGCGAACCTCGCCGACAAGTTCGGCGAGGCAGCTGGCTACGCAGGCGATCTCAACGCCGTGCAGCGTGTCGGCGCAAACTCCGTTTGGCGTGCCTGGCTGGCTACGCTCGCCAGGGAGGAAAAGGGTTCCCGTCCAGAACAGGTCTCCGGACGGCGGTGCACCAGGCCCCACGGTGGGCGCCAAATATCGGGGGTTGGGTGCGACATATGCCAAAGGATGGCTTATCATGGTGGGGGCGAGTAGAACGTCGCCGGTGCCTGGAAACGGGATGAGGCGAAGACATGCACGCTGGCGAATCTTACCCAGCTTCGGGGCTCTCCGGGGAGATAATACCCCTACTGCTGCTCTACGGGGTCTCCGCATGATCACTATGGCAAAGTGTTTACACGATTGCTCCTAGAGCTATTTCCTAAAGGTAGGAGAAGGCAAGGCTAGCTCTCTCCTTCCTGTATGGTTTGGTCTAGTGCTAATGGATTCCAACCCTTTGCATGGGTGCCCTGGGGGGTTTATATAGGCCTACCCCCTAGGGGTACAATGGTAATCCGGCTGGGCACGGGCCCAGACGTCAGTCTCTCTGGCCGCCGTCTTATCCGCCGACTCCTGGGGCCCGCCGACTGGTGGGCCCCGCCGACTGGCTCGGTACGGAGCCGACAGGCCGCGTCCGCCGCGGGCGGGTCATGCCGGCTGCAGATTACTGTAGCCGTGCTTCTAATGACGCGGGCTCGGTCATGGGGTCGTGGCAACAGCTCCGCCGTCTAACGGGCGATCACTGTTGTCTTTCCCTGTCACATCTGGTTGATGGCGCGTGGGACCCGGGGTAGGAGCTGGCCGACTCCCGGGGGCCGACTCCCAACGAGTCCGACTGGTGGCGCACTTGTCGTCTTCTGGGGTCCCGCTGGCTGGTGGGACCCGCTGCCCCAAGGTCATACGGACAAGCCGTCGTGGGCGCAGGATTCGGTCCACCGGTGCTGATGGCAGGGCTGGCATGGCAACAGTGCCACATCGCACGGAGATCTCCGCGAGTACGGCGTACTGTAGCTATGCCTGCCTTTGGAAAGGGGCGGGAGCAGGCTTCACTGTAGCCCCTCCCCTGTCCTGTCCCTCTTGATGAGGACAGGGGGTTTGTTGGAGTCGCGGGCCGACTCCCCAAGGCCGGCTTCTCGGGAAGCCGTCAGTCAAGAGTCGACTTATCTTGAAGTCGTTCCTGGGACTCGTCTGCGAGTGGCTAGTCGGTTGCCTTGCTGCCGACTTCTCAGAAGGCGGCTCTTCGTCCTGGGGTCTTGAGGGACGCAGCCTGCCCCGATGTCTTGAAAGGTTCTGGGACTCGGGTTAGCCTACTCGTGGCCCATTACTTCGACATCGTCGCTTTTAGTTGCTTTAAGTTTAGCATTGTTTTTCTTGCACATCCAGGAGAGCGGTGGCTACCGCGGCGTGTACCTCTACAAGAGGTCGTTGGTTCGATCCCTAGAGCGACTATTTTTGCGGTTTTTTAATCTGGCGAAGCGAAACCACTCAAATGGGCCGGCCCAGGGTGAGTTGTGCCCTGTGTGAAGCGGCGACTACTTGCCGCAGTTAGCGGCGAATAGGAAATTCCGACGAAGGACGGCCAAACGCAACACTCCAGAACGCTCGCTTCGGTTGGCTGGGCAGTCGCCCTATTGGGCCTCGCCCCATCCGGAATTATTATTTTTGTTTCCATGACTTTTTGACTTTTTGTTTCGCATGGATGAGTTTTTTTGGCTAAAAAACATGAATGACATTATTATTTTTCACATGTGATTACCATGTTTAGCTGGATTATGCCGAAAACAAAAATGTTCCCATGGATTGCTTTTCTACAGCCCTAACTTTTAAGAATAATACCGTACGTGCAATCACCAAGAAATGTCTACTAGTACTTGTATTCTTCGTGTAGTTAACACTTTTATCACGCGTGTTATGCTCTCCGTGTTGTTCTAGTCCCATATACGCGTCACCATGGCCCCTTGTAAGATCCACGAAGCACACAGCCAATCCCACGTACCCGCCAAACCCCTCCAACCACTCCATCCAACCCACCCGTTACACTACGCATCCAACCCGACCCGAAAACCAGAAACCATCAATCAATCAAGCTTAGAAAAGAGACACCAAGGAGGAAAAATTAGAACCATCTTCTTGGCTTGACCAGTTCAGCCTCCCCATTGGTCGCGCCCGCCGGCTGGGCTCAACGCGCCCGCCACGACCGCCAACTCTTCTCCCCCCACGAGTCAAACCGCCCCGTCTCCCCCTCTCCCTCTCCCTCCCTCCTTTCCTTGTAACCTTCGTAAGAGGAACAGCGGCAGCAACAAGAGCGCCAGGCCAGGCCAGGCCAGCAGACCATCCCCCCTCCCCCATTGCCGCCCGCGGAACCTCGAGCGCGGGACACGTACGCGCAGGAAAAGGCGCGCGCATTTCGGCTGTCGGCGGGGAGGCTTGTTCGCCGGCGGCGGCGTTTCTTGGCGGCCGGGCCGGTCGTTCGGCGGGATGAACAGCGGCGACGCCGCCGGGTCCAGCTCCGGCGGATCCGGGGACGCGGGCGCGCCCAGGAGGGCCTCCAGGAAGCCCAAGTGTGAGATCTCGCGCCTCTCTTTCTTCTCCTTTTGGCTGGGGTTTGGTGGTACAATCGCTTTTTCTCTCTGCAAGTCCAATAAGATGCAATCCTGTGAAGTTTAATATGGTTACTCACTTGGCTACGCGGCCTGGGCGTGGAAAGCTTGCTCATCATCCTTGCCCCATGTGTTGAGAATAGGAGAGTTGACTTCCTTTAGAGCCGGAGCTTGAGCTTCGACTCATCAACCAAATCCTGCAATCCAAAACCACATGCTCGGTCAAATGAAGTTTAGGTGCAACTGCCAAACTTGCTGCCAAATTTATTCATATCTGCTCTTTCGTGTAAGCAGATTCCAAGTTTACGCAGCAGGAGCTCCCAGCTTGCAAGCCAATCCTTACTCCAAAATGGGTAGGTTGACAAGTATTACATCTTTTCTGGCGTGAGTTAGCTTTTGCTATAAAGAGATCATATGTAGGATCACCTCACCTCACAAATGGTTGCACTTGTGTTTATGCAGGTCATTTCGGTGTTTCTTCTTGTCGGTGTCATTTTTGTCCCGATAGGTGTTGCTTCGTTGCTAGCTTCAAATAAGGTATGCTGAATATGGCCTATTCTGATTCAACCACATATATGTACACCATCTTTTGTTAGCTAACGTTTGTTGGTTTCTTTGCCGTAGGTCGTTGAGATTGTTGATCGATACGATGATGCGTGCGTCCCGTCTAATGTTACTGACAAGCTTGCCTACATCCAGAACTCAACGATATCTAAAACCTGCCAAAGGACACTCAAGGTAATGAGCTTAGCTGCATGCTTCTATAGGTCTAATCGTTGGAATGGCACAGTAAAAACCACTAGGCATTATCGTGTAGCATAGTGTGTGATGTGTCAGTTAATTCACAAATATGTATCTTGGTTTAAGAATCAAAGTAACCCTTGTCTGAAACATTTCTTCGTTGTATGTTGGTCTCCAGGTCCCGAAGGATATGAAGCAGCCAATTTTTGTGTATTATCAGTTGAATAACTTCTACCAGAATCATAGGAGGTATGCACTGTGCTTTGCGAGGTTACCAATATGTCAAAGACGTTGAAGTAAATACAACGGGTCTTTGGCTCAAATGTGTGTCCAGTTTTTGCTCCAATAGCATTGAAAATGAATAAAATGAAGAAAAGAAAAAAGCATTGTCAATAATGTTAGCTCACAAATGGATAGTGATTATGCAAAGGAAGGCTTGAACAGCATAAGCTTGAAGTGGGGGTAGGATTTTAGAAGGAAGAAGAGTGGACTAAAATCTGGAAAGGGGAACTATAGATGAGAAGTAATTCATTGTTCTTGTTTATCAGATTTTTGTTTTGCTGGAAATTGCTTGTCTGACTTGACCCTAAGAAACTTGTCTAAACTACTACATGGAATATATGTACACTAAAATAAACCCAACTATCAAGGAAATTATTTAATATTATGTCCACTTTCCAACTAATGTTGCGTAGGCCTCCCACATAATTGCATGAAGAAGTGCCTATAGCCACTACTAATGGCACCTACTGATTGTTGTCCGGATGGCTAAAATGTTGGATATTGACACATCGACATGCAATTTTAGCAGTTAAAGCTCTTTTTTTACTTGCTCAAACAGTTTTTTTGTACTTTGTTTTCCTAGGAGCCTTATACTTTCCCTGCTTACATATCACATTTTTCACATTCAGATATGTTAAGAGCCGGAATGACCAACAGCTAAGAGATGCTAGTAAGGCAAACGAGACCACGCTTTGTGACCCTGAGAAGACCAGAGATGGAATGGCTATTGTTCCATGTGGTCTGATTGCATGGAGCACATTCAATGATACATATACCTTCCAACACAACACTAACAACATATCAATCGACAAGACAGACATCTCTTGGAAGAGTGACAGGGACCACAAATTTGGAAGTGATGTCTTCCCAAAAAACTTCCAGAAAGGTCCTCTTATAGGTGGAAAAACACTCAACGAATCTATACCGGTATGCTTTTGGGTTTCAATTTCACTCAGTATCATAAGATTATTGTTGCATATGTGGTTGACAAGCAATAATTACTCAGGTATATTATGGCTGTCCAATTTAAAGATAAACTGACCTCAGCACGATCATTTTCCATTAGATAGACCAATATATGTTCTTTGAGCAGCCAAAAAGGATAACATTTTGTGCCCCTGAAAGTTACTTATTCTACCTGTCTGCTGTGCAGCTGAGTGAGCAAGAGGACCTTATTGTTTGGATGCGAACTGCCGCGCTTCCTACATTCAGAAAACTGTATGGTAGGATACGTGTTGACCTCAAAGAAAATGACACCATTACTGTTACGCTGGACAACAATTACAACACATATAGCTTTGATGGCAAAAAGAGTTTGGTGCTTTCTACTTCAACTTGGCTTGGTGGAAAGAATGATTTTCTTGGTCTTGCATATCTCACTGTTGGTGGACTCTGCTTCTTCCTGGCATTTGCATTCACCTTACTCTACTTGATAAAACCAAGGTTAGTGGCTTATAAGCTCTCGTATGCCGATCATATTAAGTTGTTACATCGCTGATCTTTTTTTCTGGTCTCCATGCAGAAAATTGGGAGATAACAACTACTTGTCATGGAACAGAAACTCTGCAGGCCACTGATACACTCTGAAAGTTGATTTCCGCATTCAACATCTTGGTCTTATGGTTAACTTGTATCTTTGTACGAAAATAGCAATTTTTGTGTACGAGCTGTTGTCAAAGTACGTGTATCAAGTAGACTTGTGTGTATGAGCAACACGAAAGGGTGTACATTATTATACTGAAATATAGATACACGGTTCTTTTGTTGAAAATTGCATTCTCGAGAGTGAAGATGAATCTGTGGACTGATCTTCATCCCTGTTCAGTGCTGTCAGTTTTAAACAGGTGCATTCTGTTATTCCACTTGATGTATTTTTGCAAAGTAAGTTTTCTTAGAGCATTCTTGCATGTTTTTTTGGAACTCCATAAAGAATAATGATCTGCAATATACGCTGATAAGATAATCATTGAAGGGTTACAAGATACATATGTTCTTGTTCGGAAAATTTCTACACCTAACCTTTATGACTAAAATAGGACATCAAACTAGGGGCACAACTTCAGAAATCAGCTCTTCGGAAATGGTTACTGGTCAGTAGAATGTTTTGACTGTCCCTTCTTCACATTACTCGGAGTAAGTAATTGCTGAGATACTGGCCTTCAGGATATGAAGGGTCGATGGGATGATCGCAAGCTGCTCCTGCTTGACGTAAAACCGTAACCTTTCGACCGGCCATTGATGCAGCACCCTTTAAGTTGGAAGCAAGATGAATTATCATCAACGCGGATAAACAAAAGGGAATTTGCAATGGAATATAGACAAGCTGATTGAATTAACTTTTGTTTTTTACCACCTAGTACGCATGCCAATATGAAAAGAAACTAAAAGGGCCATGAATATTCATCGTAAACCTTCTATGAGTTTTCAGTTTGACATGCTGGAAGACATTAAATTGGATCAATAATACAAACTCCAATTGGCACTGTAATAAAATTCTAGATTTGAGTAAATAGGACCCAAGAATCCATGTGACAAGGTGTACGCTGAGCAGTTCTGCAAGACGGGCAACATAAAATACCTGAATGGTTTTAAGGAAGAGACCACTTTGGGTCATAGCTCCAGAACAGGAGCATGTCATGAGTAACCCCCCTGGCTTTACCACTTGCATTGCAAGAGCGTTCAGGCTTCTGTACATACCGGATGCACTTTGTAGCACCTACAAATACAACAGAGAATCCCCCTTCACTTACATAGAGCAATTGTGGGTTCAAGACTTCAAGTGTACAGACAGTCTGTGAGCCGGATAAAGGGTTTTGCTGATGTTCAGGGTAAATACTAAAGAGCAAGAGTTAGATGCCTACTGAGGCATGAACAAATGATTCATGAACCTTTTGATGTATAACATGCTTCAGAACTTCACATGATCACATCAAAGATGAAATGATGATCAAGCCAAATTAGCAACTACAAGCAGATGCTTCATGGGATGTATACCTTCTTTCGAGGTGCCAACTTTGGAGGATCCAGGATTACCAAGTCCCACAGCTCATTTCTTGAGATAGCACCTTTCATGAATGTAGTTGCATCTTCTTTTAAGAACGAAATTCTCTCAGCATCAAGCTTATTTAGAAGAATATTCTCATTGGCAAGATCTAGTGCAGATCCTGATGAATCAATGCCTGAAAATGGTACTAGTCAGATTGTCGTTTTTACAAGCCAAACCTGTAGAGTGTTATAAAGTGATACTAAAAAGGACACACTGTTGTGGGTTTTCCAAATGAATGATACAACTAGACTATAATTCAACTGTGATGAACTCTCAGAGCATCTGAACAGAGGACTAAAAGGTCCACAGCTTACAGTACTATACCAGTAACATTTGTTGCACCGCCCTTGGCTGCACTAAGAGCAAAACCACCACTGTAACAGCAAAGGTCCAGAACCCTCTGGTCCTTCGAGAGTGTGGATATGAAGTGGCGACTTTCCCGTTGATCTGCATAAAAACCTGTCTTCTGCCCCTCCATAGAGACTAGATAGATGATGCCATTTTCCATAACCTGGATGTAAGAAAAGCACACGTGTTGGAACTACGAGCAACACAAGTATGCAACATAGCAGGTAGAGAAGATTGACAAATACTGCAAGTAAAGCTATTGCAATGCTCTGTTCAGTCCCGCACAACCGCACACACTGTCAGTCTCTTTACACTAGCTGTAGTTGCTAACTTGCTATATTAATTGAGTAGGACAAACCCGGTTCAAAAAGAATATGGCAAAGGCAAAAATGTACTCGAATTGAAGCTAAACCTCCTCGCATTTTTTTTGAAGCTGAACCCTATTACCGTGACTTGCTAAAAATAGATACATTGAACCATAATTTGTAAAATTTTAAAATCAAACTTCCTAGCTTCCTTTAAAAACATTTAAGTCAGCAGGCTCACCTTCACAGTTCCAGAGTATGAAGAGGGTGCAGGTTCTTTTTGTTCTGACATATCTAATCCTTCTTCTTTTAGAATATCAGTTGATGACCTCCACTTTATATGGTTAACATCACTAACTTTGCTAACAAGGGACTGGATTTGTTGCCTATATTTCTCAACCCAAGCAGCAGATGAAGCAATTACAGCAACATCAGCAAATATATCCACTATCAGACCAGATAATCTGCATTTCAAAACATTGAATATTGATAGTTACACTACTATGCATGAATACAAGAATGAGACAACAGGCAAGGTTTCGGAGAGATAGAAAAATGCAAGTCATTCAATGCTCAAGATCAGTATTCTCTGCTGCACATGTCGAAAATACGCAGGGCAATATAACTATCTATTGTTTATACAAAGATATCAAGATACAAAGTTGAACTATTTGGAGACCCATGTGTACTAGAAGTAAAAAATGGTGCTGAATGCTGAACTAACCATGCTCCTTTCAGTGATGGGTATCAAGGTGGTTTCTTTGCTAACTGAAGTATAGCAATGGAGAACAGTATATACCTGTCGCCTTCACTATTGATGAGACGGTAAGCATTTGTATTAGTTGAGGGGAAACCCAAACTACCCCGTAAATCCACCGCAGAACAAAGTCTTTCTTCGAGCAGTCTTTCCATATTTAATGCAGAGGCTGGATCTCTGAGCAAAACAAGAATAGGGGATATTCAGCACAAGCTCTCAAAATCTCAATAACCATAGAACCTCAACAATTGTGTCACCTTTTTGCCTCTTCTTCTAGTTGCATTAGCCGAACACAAAACATAGACACGGAGTTATAGACACCCCATCCGATAGGTTTCTCTGACCCATCAGCTACCAAAACAACATCACCAGTTCTCGGAGGAGGGCGGCCAATTATTCTATCAACAGCACCACTGTACACCATTGGACTCCCGTCTCGGAATATCTGAGTCTTGCCCTTCTTTAGTACCACTTTCGCCAAACCTAAAAAAGGTGCTTGGATGTTAGTATATACTTCGGTTCGAGCGAAGGAAAGAAAGAAGTCCCTACTGGCCATAACCTATGCTTAACCCAAACAAGCGGAATGGGAGATGCTTGATTAATTGATTTCAGCGTTGTGGATGAAATCTAGCCAGCTTTTTGGACAAGGTCCATCATTCCACTTTGTGGTGATGCATGCCACTATTTCGTGAAACTAATTTAAACAAAGGATGAACCGTTTTTAGGAGACTGTAACTACTATCGTTTCTAGCTGTTGTTATTACCTATGTTTTTAAAGCGTCCCTAAGGCGACGCCTAGGCGACGCCTAGGCGTCGAAGCGCTCCCCCTCCGCTTTGGAAAATCGACCGCTTTGGGCGCCTAGGCGTCCAAAGCGCCCGCCTAGGCGTCGCCTAGGCGCCAAAGCGCCCCCCCTCCCTAAGGCGGTAAGGCGTCGCCTTAAAAACATAGGTTATTACCATATAAATGTCCCTTAGGGGAAGTAGAACTTTTAACAGTTGACAACCTCTGGCTTGGAGGATTATGAGCAAGTAAAATTAGCAATATAGGTCCTCATAACAGGCCATGAAACAATGACCAAACATTAACAGTTGTTTACCACTCGCTACAACTGTATCAAGCAATGAGCGTCCAAGCTCAGGAAATGGACGCATTGGCAAACGGCCGGCCCATGACCAGATCGAAAGGCAACACGGGAAACAAATGCGCAGTTCACTTGGTCGTTTCAACAAACAGCTCGTCGCCATGGCGCTCCCATTCGCCGCCACACGTAGGATAGAAGGGACGAGCACAAACTTCGCTGCACGGGATGAGCAGAAACGAGCGCCTCGGCGGGGGAGAGGACCACAGTAAATCCGTTCGACAGAATGCCGGCAGTGACTAGGCGAGCGCAGGCGCGAGATGAGTAAAGGACGTGGACCTTTGCGGTCGGCGGCGAGCTCTTCCAGGGCGGAGGAGGAGGAGGCGACGGCGGAAGCGGGCCTCGCGAGGCGCGCCCTGACGAGGGCGGGTACAGACGCAGGAGCCGCGGCGCCGCAGGCGCGGAGCATCGCGTAGCTCGTGCTGGCGCTGCGTATAGCAGCCGACGTTCGCCACAAAGTTAACCGAGACTTGTGGATTGGTATTTCCTCTTCAAGTTGCGCATCTTGTGTCACTGCGATGTGGGGCCTTCATCGAGGCCAGGCCACTGAAGAAGTGAAGAGTGGAACGCTCCCGTTCGACTCGCTGCTTCTTGTCGGGGGCCAGTCGCGAGCGCCGCCGCAGCCGCCGCAATCATCGACGCCAGAGCGTCTGCGTGCGACTCTTTGGCGACGACGCGGCGGTCTGCACTTCGTCGGGCCACCTTCTCGGTAACCGCGCCGCCCTTTCTCTTCCTTCTCTATGCTCGCGTCGCGTGTGCTCGGTTGTCGGTTTGCGTCCTACAGTATTGTTTTTTGGGGGCACTGCCGCACCGCAGAGGGTCGCGCAGCTATTGTAGAAGTATGATTTTGTGCTCGTCATTGCAACTTGATTGTTGTGACCATGCATTGGTGGATTCACAGTTGCTCGGAGGCCTTGTTCTGAATTTGGTTTTCTGAACGTGGACTGGTTGGAGGCAATACATCATGGCCCCTAAGGTTCAG